TTTGGGCCCGGGGCTGCTGCCTGCAGGGCGAGGGGTGTCCCTGCGGTGCGGGGGGCGGCCCGGGGGGCTGTCCTGGTGGGCTCCGGGTCACGTTTAGCCAGTTCCTCCCTTCGTGGTAGGGGTGTTTGCGGTCTGTGCTCGCTCAGCGCTGCCTCTGCTTCTGCCCAAGCACCCTCGGGCCAGCCCTGGGGCGCAGAGGGAAGGGCTGCAGCTCCTCAGCTGGGGGGGTTTGGGCGGCCAGGAGGCTGCGGGACGGAGCAGAGCGCTGTGTGGTGCCGGAATCCCGGCCAAGCTGTCTGCACCAGCCTTGCCCTGAGCGGTCTCACCAGGCTGTGCCCTGCAGGCAAAGCTCTCGGCTTCAGGTTGCCTCTAAACGCGTCATGAGAACAAAAGAGATGCTAAAGGCCTCTCAAAATGTTAAGTTTTTCCCCTCTGCCATTCCCAGTCTCCATTCTAAGCTGGTTCTGGCTGACAGGAGTGTAGCTGTGCACGTTTTGATGCAGTTTGGTCGCCTTCAGGTTGACCTGTGGGTTGCATGGGCAGCAACCAAGAGGCAGAGACATGATTTCTCTTTTCTCCTCGTGTTTTCCATGGGACTGGGTGTCTGTTGTAGCCCAGCAGCCAGTCTGTGCATCAGCTAGAGAATTATAGGACTGGAGGTCTTCAAGTGGAGCAAGGCAGGAATAACATTTTAAATGCAGCCCCAGGCAGGCAAAGGATGATTCCAGGCTTGATGTTTATGTGATGTTAATCTTTGTAGAAGATGGGCTGTGTCTCTTATTGTAGCAAGTGCAATGTTGCTGCAACGCAGATAAAGAAAAGAGCTAAGGTTGATGTGTTTATAAGCACAATTGCATTTATGGCTTGAGCTGATCTTTATGGGATGCCCACGATGCCCAAATGCAGGCTGTTTTCTGTCATCAGTTGTGTGAACACTTGTGTTGGTAGCTTGTAAGAGAGAAGAGCTTATTCCTTTGGGTGATGGTTTATTGGAAATCTCATTATACACCTTGCTTAGACAAACTGCTGCACCACAAAAATTCCAAATGCTGGTAGTTTATCTCTTTTTATTTCCCTGTGGAAAACTGTAGACTATCAAGTGCACTTATTGAAGTCCTCCTGAAATGCAAGAGTAAGCAAAGGACACACTGACTGGGGTTGCATAATGTCATGTATTGTGAAGCTGCACAACTCTCCTTCTGTCTTGCAGAATCCTGCTGTGAGAGGGTCCTTGAATATCCCACAGCCTCCCTGTGTGCTGTCCTTGTAGCCATCCACCACGGAGTACAAACCATATGCACTTCTTTTCCTGCCATGCCCAGTGTTGCCTGTTGGAGGAAGGGACATGCAGAAAAGAGAAGGGCTCTCAGTCCCTTAGGGAAGGTTTTTGTGAATTGAAGCACAGGCCAGGCAGTAGATGTAAGGACACTGAGTTCTCTGGTGGCCTTTCTGCTCATCTTGGTGTCTCCAGCCCAGCATTAATCAACCCATCCTGAGAGCACTGTGCTGTGCTCCAAGTTGGGTATCCAATGACTGCCTGCTCTGTAGCAAGCTGCAGGTTTAAACTTCTCTGCTTGGGAACCAGGTCGAAGCCTGAGCCCAAATGGAAGTTTGAATGGGAATTTTGCTGCTGAAGAGTGAGTCTGTGGCTTCCAGCCAGAGCTGGAATTGCTTGTGTTCCATGCCAGACAGTAAGACAATCTCTAATCTGAAGTGTAATATGTGAACTGGGAGCTTTTCTCTGATTAGAAGTGGCTTTGGGTGAAGCCCAAGGAAACCAAAAGGAGGATGGCATATAATTCTGTCACAAGCCACCAAGAATGCCTGGCCAGCCAACTGGGAAAGCAAGGAACTGCCCTCAGCAAGAACAATCATCTTTGTAGGAGCTTTGTTACCACTTGCTCAAGGCAGGGGCTGGGAGTGAAGGTCATTCTGGGGAACCTGTGCAGCCACGTTCCTGTAAGAGCACGGCCCTTGGGACACCAAAACCAGCTCCTTGTTTCATCCCCAGATCATCCTATTTCCTTCATCTTCCTGTTAATTCTCCTTGTGCATGTATGAGATGAACAGCTGGGAAAGATTTCTTGTCAGAGGAATTAGTAAATAATAACTGAGAGTGCAGTTATTTCCCTCTCTCTATGTGTTCAGGACATGCAGAAGCTGTTTTTGAATGTCCAAGGGGAGAGGGTCTGTTTCTTCATCTGTGGATGCATCTACTTTACTTCTCACCTGAAAGATCATCTTGAGGATCTTAATTCTTGTACCTGGGTCTCCTCAGTCCTGTTTAGCCAAGGAGCCTGGCTGAAGTCCTTCTTTGCATTCAAACAGCATGTCAGCCAATGTAGGCAAATCCACAAGGATGGTTTCTTCTTCATGTGAGTTGGAGTCAATGCAATGTAGAAAGTGCAAAAGGATATAAAAATTACTAGCAAAAAAAAAAAAAAGTGCAACGTAGAAAGTGCAAAAGGATATAAAAATTGCTAGCAAAAAACAAAAAACAAAAAAAAGTGTGATGTGGGTAACCAAGTCCAGTGTGAAAGGAGCTATTTTACTTCTTTATCCATCACCAGTCAACAAGAGATAAGAATCTCTACCTGTTGAAATGAGAGGGGGAGCTTCCTTTAGGCTGCTGCTTAAAAGGCCAATTGAGTTACCCAGATCTACCTTGTGCCCAGTGCTCCCAGTCCACAGGAATCCTCCACAGGGACCTTTCCAGAGCTTTTGTCTAACACCTTTTCAAAGTTTTTCAGTTCCTTCAGGAGGCTGTTCCATGCTTGTCACTAATTGGGTAGAAGTTTTTGCATGTTTGGCATTTTTTCACCTCCTCAATGTAGCTTCAATCTTAGCACTTCTGCCCAAAATCCAACCTGGGAATTCTAAAGTCTTCTCCCAAAACGACTTGCACAGCCATGGATGAAGCTGCTGCTGCCTCAGTCTCACTGGGTTCCCTCACCTGGGTTCCACCAGAGCCACCTTTCCCCTCTTTCTTTGGGTGGGACTGAATGCTGTCCCAGGACAATATGCCAGGTGACAGCATGTTCCTATCAGTGTCCATCAAACCTGACAGACCAACCCTGTGCTGGTTTGAGTGGGACCTCTGTGGACATCCACCCTGGAGCTGCTGCCTCCCTTAGCACTGCTCAGCCCTCCCTCCTTGCACTTCCTCAGCTCCATCCCACCTCTCACAGCGTTTCCACTGCTGATCATTCCCTTTACCTCCCCACCTGCCCTTCCTGTCTGCCCTTTCCCAAACCCTTGCTCCTCATCATTGCCAAAGAAAACCGCC